ATTATTACTCGATATTATTCCCCCAGATAAATGGCTCTGTCGGTGTAAATAGCTCCTCACGTCGGACAAATCTCCCGTTATTATTACTCGATAGACGCGTGTAACAGTGATGGATGGAGAGGAGTGTATGCCTATCTAACTGTGATCAAGTGATCACCAAATGCCCAAATCACAAATATTTTCCGACGAGACGGAGCGTTTTATTCCGGGACACGAGTGTGATGGATACGCGGGGATAATAATAGGCTGGCCGGGCGCCGGGACATAGCATGAGTACACGACGAGCCCGGCCAATCCCGGCCTTGGACTTGCTTACCACGACGACCAAATTAACACGGACGCCGTACATTACCAGTACGTACGGTATGAGTTGGATGTCGATCGCGACGTCGGCTTCGGCGTGGCGGCGTACGATGCCGTGAAGCATTTTTGTCCGAGCAAGCTGAAGCCGCGCAATGCGACGGGCCGACGTCAATGACAGAATGACTGATGATTGTAATTGTTTCTTTTTATTCTCCCAGATGTAAATCGAGTTAATATCTTCTCTCTCTTTCTTTTGAGAAAAAATCGAGTTAATATCTGTGCTGAGCCTTCTGGTTAAAAAGAACAGTTTTGCTAAAGCACATCTAGATGTGCCATAAGTATTGCGCATCTAAGTCATATGTCATTGATCTTACATTAAGATACGTGTGAATATTTTTTTTCTCTTTTTTCTTTTTCTTTTATGCTTGATTCACTCACTTAGATGTGCAATAACTAAAGCACATCTAGATGTGCCCTAGACACACCCTAAAAAGAAGACCGTTTTGCTAAAGCACATCTAGATGTGTCATAAGTATTGCACATCTAAGTCCTATGTCACTGATCATACATCGAGATTTGTGTGGATATTTTTCTTTTTTTTCTTTATGTTTGATTCATTCACTTAGATGTGCAATAACTAGAGCACATCTAGATGTGCCCTAGACACACCCAGAAACTTGCATCTTTGTCTCAGGCGGCAGATCAAGGTATTATAATCTCCAAATTAAGGCCGAAGTGCAAAAACATTTTTTTTTGCGGGAAAAAAACGTCTTATATTAAGGGACAAAGGTAGTATATGTACAAACACGTCAATCCCGGACATGCAAATGGTTTGTGCCTGCACCCAAATACAAGGTCATTTGGCAGAAAAAGGTTTCTTATTATTTTCGTTAAAACAAGGAATGGATCTTTTTTTTTTTTAGAAAAGAGGGATGACCCCCGGCCTCTGCATCCGGGAGATGCATACGGCCATATTATTAATTATTCTCGAGGACCTTACAAAGTATTACAACAATAAGTCTGAATCCACCATCTTGGCAACACATGCCACTACTCCTACCCAAAATGATGAAGGGGTGCTAGCTGGGCCACTACCCAAACCACTCACCTAAGCCTAACATCAAAAGCCGAAAACCGAAACATATTCGGAATCCCCAGCCGAGCCACATACCGGGTCTGGGGCACAATCCGGTCAGACGCACTCGTGTGTCGTTGCCACCATCTTCCGCAGGTCCATCTTCAGATCATAGTGAGGTTTCTACCTTGTCTGGCCACTCAGCCATCGGCGTCACCATGACGCCAGACAGCAACCTCCTCCTGCGCGAGTCCATCTCCGCGCATCGAACGGCGAACCTCCACAGCGCCATGCCGCCGATCCTCGCCGCCATCAATGAGTGAGATGAAGTACCGCTCCACCACGGCAAGTACATTAGTGCTAAGCGAAACGGCTCACAACAGCAAGTCATCGGACGAAAGATCCATGGAGAAGGCCAATCGTCACCACGCCACCAGCATCTCCACCCCACATGAGCAATCCCCGGAAGACGCCTTCAAGAAGGATCACGGCACCGGATGCCGCCATCGACCATGCAAGGGGAGGGCAGGTTTTCACCTGTGCTCGAGGGAGAAGTGGGAGGGGAGAACCACACCAAAGCCTCCAGGAAGGACCACGACGCCGAAGACGTCGCCTTTGGTGAGGCCGCCGCGCCGGCCATGGGTTTCCCCCGGAATCACGCCCAACCACTAGATCCGTCCGTCCAGACCCCCAAGACAGCGACCGAAGCCACCAGGGGCTGGAGCAGGGCGCAGATCGGAGCAGATCACGGGCGGGAATGGAGCTTCTCCAGGAGCGCAGGACGACCCACGCGGGGGCGCCGCCTCGCCATCGCCCGCCACCCCCCCGCCGACCGCACGGCCAGGGAGGTAGCCCGCCAGCACCCGCCGGCGCAGCCCGCCGCACTGGCCACGCCGGACATCTCCCATCGGAGCCGCCGCCCCGGACGCCGTGGCCCTCCGCGAAGGCGAAGCCACCAGATCCCCGCCGCCACCTTCATAGGTGTCGCGCGGTCGGGCCGGCGAGCACCTCAGGCGGCGGCGGAGGGAGGGGAGAGGGAGGGGGAGGCGCGGAGGGGATTAGGGTTTGCCCCCGGGTCGCCTCAGGCGAGGCGACGCGAGGGAGATATGACCTCGTTGACAAACCAGTCGCTGTCTTCACAAGGAATGGATCATGGATGCATGTATGCGAGACGCTTGACCATGCTGAAAATAACAAATCCGATATTGCTTCTAGTAACATTCATCTCCTCTCTATATAATGCAGGCAGGATCTGTTATTAAATCAAACAAATCCAAGTGTCACTATCTTTGCAACTACTAGATTACTTTGCCACCTAAACTAAAGTACATCAGGTCAAAGAAACCTGAACAACAATGACAATTGATAAAATTAAAAGTTACATCAAGGTCATAGGCTCTCGCTCCATGCTTTGGCATATCGACATTCGCATGTACTTCGGGTGGAGAAACTGCGAAAGAGTAATCCCTCATAACCTAGACTAATCCCTCCACCATAATAGATGAGAACCTATGATCATTGAACGCATTGCGTCGAGGACACAATACTCTTGCCGGGCAAAATGGCACACCCTTACTTCATCGATGTATTGTCAGGTAAAAATTGTAAGAGAAGAACAAGTAACGAAAACAAACTTTATACCATTGTCGTCTTCACCACCATTTAGATATACCAAATGTCTGACAACCATCTGCTAAATCAAGGGCAGATAATCCATGTGACCAAAAAACCACAGACTACGCGGTGTTGGCTATGATGTCGGGATGAGGTTAAGTAGGACACTTATTTCGTTCGATGTAATCTCCAAATTCAATCTGTGTGCCACAAAATGTATGTTTTCAAACATGATTTACATAATCTGGTCACATCAGAGTTATTTAGATCAACCAAACACACTAGAATTATTTATCTGGTTCTCTAAAACCCGGCATGAAAGAGAGAACATGTCACAAAACCTGGTACTCATCCTATAACTTTGTCTTTTTTGACCCCCGCAAAAAAAAACTTTGTCTTTTTTTAAACACAACACGAAAGTAGGCGCTCTCATACACGTACATTCACTCTTATGAATGCGCGCACATACACACACACATACACACGTCGTACCCCGTTGAGCATCTCTGAAAGACTGAGCACGTAGGTCTTGAGATTGATGAAGTCTTCACATGCGCCTCACTATCCACGGGCACATTGCTTACCACCGAAAAATAAATTCAGAATAGTGAGAACAAACATAACAAGTCTAAGGCTTAAACCCAAACGGACAGGTCCCAACACAAGGTCTGAGCTAGACTTAGTTTACTAGTATAACTTTGTCTTCTCTCCTGCGGCCATCAACATAATTCATCACTGGGCCGGTCGCCCAGCACCTACCAGCTGGGGTCATCTAATTAATTTGAGCAGATTGTACGATACGATCTCATAGTGTAGAAAGATTGCACATACGTACATTCCGATTACGCATAAAAAATACATGGAAAATGGCACAACCACCATACATATAGCAATTGAATGCTCCTGGCTACCCGCGTCAGCGTCACTACATTCATACTAGTAGCTCAATAATTGGTAATCGTAAATGATAATCGGAGAGCCGGAGAGGGACGCCGATCGGTCTTGCATTCCTAGCTCCCAGCGGTGCCTACCTAGCTACTCCTATCTTGGATGCATGCATGATTCGAGCGAGGAAAAAGCGTCCAGCAAGTAGCCGACAGATAGATCGGTTGGCGCCGGCCGGGCTTGCTCCATGATCCCATGGCCGCGGTGGAGCACTCTCCGGTCTCCGCCGGGTAGGTCATATCCGACGGTGCAAAAATCTCCTGACGAGAGCCGGAGAGGAGTGTGTATCCATCTAACCGATCGAGTAATCATCAAATGATCGAGGCGACAATCCCCGACGAGACGGAGAGCATATTTGTTGACGGGGATCCAGAATGGACACGACGGAGTGTGATGGATGTCGCTGGGGTGGCCGCCGGGACCAACCATGGTCGTCAGCCTTGGCCTGCACACCTCGCATGCGCGCTGTCTCGCCTTCCGTCGTCGACTCCGCGTTCATTTATCGAGAGACAGCGCCACTGATCGACGCCAACGCAATCACGCAAGTCCCGGCCGGATCGAATCATTGTACGTTGGTGCAACCATTTTATTCCACACTTCCGGTTCTCCATGACCATCGCAAATAAACCCTTTCAGGTTTCGAAAAGCTCATACAGAATGCATATATATCACATACCAGTACATTGTTTTTTGAGGAATATCACATAATATATTACAACATTTGATGTGCACTGATCTCACTGATCGAGTTCCACATAATTAAAACGGGCTGTTCATACTAAGCTCATACTACTAATCATTAGCTCATACTGTACTTATATACGACTCGCGATCGTGTTGACGCTGATACCATTTTCTAATGCGTAACTGATCAGTAGATAATCCTACTTGGCCCGGGGAGGTTAGCCTGGTCATTTTAGTACGGCACAGTACTGTGGTTGCACGCACCGGTGCGCCATATATATCTACGTACAGAATACCTATCAATGCGCTGAGCTACCCAGCTAGCTGTGCCCTGTATGCAAGCTGAACAATCCACCTCACACGATCCCGCAGCGCCGCCATGTCGGGCGAGCTCTCCACGCGCTCGTCGCCCTCGTTCGCCGCCTCGCCCTCCGGCGCCGACGACGCGCGGTCAGCAGGAGGAGATGACAGCCTCGGAGAGTCGACGCCGCTGCGGGTCGAGGCCGAGGGCAGCAGGTCCGGCGGCAGTGGCAGCACGGGCGTGAAGCTCCGGCGGCGGTGGCAGCGGCGGCGGCAGCAGCTGGGGCTGGGGCAGTGGCGCGTCGGAGACACGTGGGCGCTGGACCCGCGCGCGCGGTGGGTGCGGGAGTGGAACCGCGCCTACCTGCTGGCCTGCGCGGCGGGGCTCATGGTGGACCCGCTCTTCCTGTACGCGGTGTCGGTGAGCGGCCCGCTGATGTGCGTCTTCCTCGACGGCTGGCTCGCCGCCGCGGTCACCGCGCTCCGCTGCATGGTGGACGCCCTGCACGCGTGGAACTTCCTCACGCAGCTCCGCGTCGCGCGCGCTGCGGCCACGGCGGTTGCGCGGAGCCGGCGCGGGATCGCGGACGAGGAGCAGGCCGCGGTGGACCAGGCGGAGGTCGACGCCGCGGCCGCGCGGAGCCTGCCGGCGTACGCCAGGTCGAGGAAAGGGATGGCGCTCGACTTCTTCGTCATCCTCCCCGTGATGCAGGTGCGTGCCCCTTCCGTGTCCTCCCCTGAGCCATCTCTACGATGAACTTCAGCTGGATTTCTTGAAAACCTGCTGGACGATCAAAGATGCAAACATTGATGCAATGGATTTTACATTACACGGCGTTGCACCTCCATTTTTGCATTCTTGGTTTGTTTTTTGCTAGCACCACCCTTCAATTTGTTTTGATTAGGGCATGCACAATGGTTGATAAGATAGTCTTATCTTAAGTTTTACATGTAAATTAGAGATGATAAAAAAAACATGCCTATAATGAATCATCTTTTAGTTCTATCTTCAATAATTAGTTGTTGCTAAAAGTATGGTGAGACAAATTATGCTAAGAGATCATCTCTTGTCTTCTCTTAAATAAGATAAGACAACCCTTTTTTTATGATTTCTCTTTCCTTCACTCATCATTTATCCTACGTGGCACTTTTAATATAGAATTATTGTACATGCCCTTATTATCTAATGTACTTCATTCATTTTGCTCAGTAACCCGTAGGCAAATTCAGTTAACCACAGTCGAGCATACTACACTATTTTGATCAGTAAGAAAACCGTGGATAACATTTTCCTTCAAGAAAACAAATGTCCCGCGAACTACTGTACCGTGCAGTGACACGCCACCTTATCTCCACACCTCAGCACGGTACGGTATGCACAGAAGGGGAATATTCGCACATAAAACGGAAAGTTGTTCAACAGGCTATCAAGTGCCGTCCCTGTCAGTGTCAGCTGATCGGCTCGTAACACACATACTCATCTTTTTATTCATTTTGATGACAAGTATTTTCGGACGGAAGGAGTACGTCCAAGCGGTCCGCACAGGGCCACGGCTTGGAGCTTCCGTGGCTGCATCGTCGCCTTGTTCGTCCACCGTACGTACGTATGTGCACGTACCGACCGTCGCATTATATCTGCCAGAATAAGGACATGCATGGCAATAGCATGGCATGCGCTGGGCCCTGTACCAGCTCCTGTCGTGTGTTCAGGCTCCAATCGACCGCCATCCCCATGCCCATGCTCAAGGTTAGCACGGTATGAACGTATAAGAGCAACTCCAACGGGCCGATTCAAACGGACGGCGTTTTTGCCCGCTTTTTGTTCGTTTGGGTCGGCTGCTCGCCCGCCGTTTATTTTTTTTTAGTTTTGGGTCGTCAGTGCGTCCAACAGGTCGACCCATTTCATGACCGCATGCGTTTTAGATCATGTCATCGCCTTGGTTTTGGCGCTTCAGCGCGTGGGAAAGGTTCGCGCGCACGCCGCGGCCGGCGCTCGTTATAAAGAAGGTGTTTCCTCCACACTTTGTCCGCCGCCCACTCTCGCCGCCTTTGCGCCACCATGTCGATCCGCCGCCTGGGCGCTTCGGATTTTCGCGGAGTCCGCGAGCGCCGCTCCGACGCCTTCTCCTTCGAGATCTGGTTTCGCGAGAAACGTCTCATCCTCGGCACCTTCGACACCGCAGAGGAGGCGGCCCGCGCGCACGACGCGGCGGCGATGTGGCGCCTCCTGAGGCCTCGTCGGGATATGAATTTTCCCAACGTGTCGAGCCAGCGGTCGCAGGATCTGACACCTCTCCCGCGGCTTTTCACCGACGAGGATCGTCGTGTCCACCGGAGGCGGCATCGTCGCCTCGCCATCGCGGAGAAGGACGTGGAAGCCTTGCCGGTGTGGCGCGGAGGCTTCCCGCAGGACATCGTCGACGAGCGCCAGTTGTACAAGCAAAGGAGGTTGGAGAGGGACGGGGGAGGAGGGAGCGAGCCGCCTATCGGGAGGACAAGAGTTTGCGGAAGCAGGCAACTCAATTGAAACTGGAGCTACGAGAAACGGCGGGTTGGGACTTTGAAGACGAGGCGTATGCTGACGCCTACATTCAGACGTCGGAGGAGGACATTACCGAGTCGGAGTCAGAAAGCGACGAGTAGTGGTCTTTTCTTTTATCTGTGTACGCTAGAACTATCTATGTATCCATTTTTATCTGAAAAAATGGCCAGCAGCGTCGGCGACGTAGCAGGCGGGCGAGGGTGTGAATCCAATGTGCCACCGACCAGCGGGCCCGGTGAGGAAAAAGTGCGAGCGCGCGCGTGTCCGTCTTGTGTCCGCGCCGACGCAAATCAGACTAAAAAATGAACCGAAAATGGGTCAGCAAACGGACGAAAGCGGACGCGCGTCCGTTTGGGTCGACGCGTTGGGTCGGCTTTTTTGTCCGCGCCGACCCAAATGGACGGCCGCAGACGAAATGGATCGCCCCATTGGAATTACTCTTAGGGCTACATAGAACAGACAGACAGAGATACGCACGTACATAGGGCATTGGCGCCGTCTGTTTTCGCCTGTCCAAATTCCAAGCGAGGCCAGCCTTCCGGCGCCGTCCTCTAGTGGCTCTCTTCTCTGCCGATGACTGAGAGGTGGTAAGGACGGTCATCGGATCCATCGCATGCAAGTTGGGTAGTTTTAGGGCCTCTTTGATTCGTAGGATTGTCAAAATGAAGGAATAGAAAAAATGCAGGAATAGGATGGCATGTCTCGTAATATTCTACAGGAATTGAAAGAATGTTTGATACCGCAGGAAAAACAAAAAAATTCTACAAAGAGGTTTGAGTGCATGGAAATATCCCTCCAAAATGTAGTATAAGGGCTTCTCTGATTCAAAGGATTCTCAAAGGAATTTTGGAGGATTCTAATCCTTAGAAATTTTTCATATCTTAGTTGTTTGATTCATAGGATTGTAAACCATGGGAATTTTTTCATAGGATTCAATTGCACTAGATTTCATAGGAAACATCCCATCCACTCAAACCTATTTGAAAGAATCCTGCGTTTTTTCTATGCACAAACAAACACTCGTACAATCCTGTAGGATTCAAGACGACATTCCACTCTAATCCTATATTTTTCTTATTCCGTGTTTTGGAAATCCTATGAATTAAAGAGGCCCTAAATGGATCCTATGGAAAAATTCCTAAGGATGCCAATCCTACGAATCAAGTGAGCATCACGGGAAAAATTCCTAAGGGTTCAAATCCTTCAAAAATCCTATGCAATTCCTTTGAATCAAATGAGCCCTTAGGTTTTAGGACCCTAATAGGTTATGTTTTGGATCGTTCGACGTCTTGACTTAGGTGGCGATGATGGTTGAACTGAATAAAGATGCCCAAATCCTTCCACAACAAAATGACCAACTCTATGATTGGCGGTGGATTTGGGAACTAGCCTATTCAAGCCAGGATTTCGTGGCGGCGGTGGCGGCATCCCTATGGCGGACTTGTGTACTCGCGCTCCGTTGTTGCGATGACATCTGCTCCAATGCTAGCGTGGAGCTTGGGAGGTAGTCGATGAACGGTTGCAGATAGTGGTCCGCATCAACGGCATCTGGAAGACGGACCGTGTGCTGGGTTCATAGTTGGTGGCTGGCAGGTATTTGTTTCCTCCTTCGGCATCTTAGTTATGTGGAGATGTCAGATCTGAAGTTCGATGGTGTGTCCGAGGTGCTGCCTCGGCCAAATTCGTTCAATGGCAATGGCTTCATCTCTTGGTAAGTTACTTTGGAGATCCGCAAAGTTACATGCCCACGATAAAGTTACATCAAGCTTGGGTGAAGAGGTGATTCGTCGCATTTTTTTGTGGCAGTTGCTACGGGAGTGCCGGAGGCAGATGCCATGCGTTGGAGTCATGCTCAGGGGATGCGTTGGTTTTGATTTGTGATTTTCTTTCTCGGTTGATGGTCCCTTTTTTTGCGGGTGTGGCTGATGGTCCTTTGTGGGAAGCCTAGCGTTTTGCTCTATTTAGTTTTGTCAACTCGGGGTCTACTTAGCTTGCACTTTGACCTTTTTATTATAGAAGAAATGATACAGGTATTACCTTGAAAAAGAAAATTCCAAGCCACGTGCGCGCGCAATATTCACTTATAATCAGTTCTGGAAATCGCCAAAGAAAATGCCTACCGTCCTGCAGAATGCCAGCATGTGGGTTGCGGTTGCGTGCATGCTATCTAACAATGTTCAGCCGTACGTTGGCACGTACCGATCAATGTATTAATCCCATCGGTTCGAGTATATACCGATCCCCATGCCATGCCAATCTTAGAAACATAATAACTGGTACGCGTGGCGCATTTTGCATTATAGACGCCCAACTTTGTATAGACCCTGTTTGTTTGGGCTTTTACTTCTGCTTTTGCACTTTGGCCAAAAAATCATAAAAACTCCTAAATAGATGCTTTTGAAGCTTTTTTTAGCTTTTGACAATGTAACAATATTGAGCTTCAAAATTCATAAAAGCTCCAAAAGCATCTATTTAGGAGCTTTTATGGCTTTTTGGACAAAATTGAAAAAACTGCAAAAGCAAAAAACAAAAGCTCAAACAAACAGGGCCATAGTCACTTTCATCAGTCAAACACACTACACTACAGTAGTTTGCACATGCTAATCTTGTTTTGAATTTTTGCAAATAAATTTGTTTGTTATTACATATTGTGGCAAAAAGGAAATAAAATCTGACCGCGTCCTGTGGGTGCCTGGGTGGACCAAGTGACATAATATGCAAAAGAAAATTATTTTTTTTGCATGGATCTTAATGTAAAATCAAAAAGAATATAGTACCGACTGAGATTTAACAAGACTGTGCTTTAATTCGGTTGCTGTAGCGAAATGGACGGTGCATGATCCATGTTTATTTGAAAAAAAAAGACGCATGATCAATATTTCGCGCGCGTAACTGAGTTTCATTTTGCAGGTGGTGGTCTGGGTGGCGGCGCCGGCGATGATCCGCGCGGGGTCGACGACGGCGGTGATGACGGTGCTGCTGGTGGCGTTCCTGCTGGAGTACCTGCCCAAGATCTACCACTCCGTCTCCTTCCTCCGGCGGACGCAGGACAAGTCCGGCCACATCTTCGGCACCATCTGGTGGGGCATCGTGCTCAACCTCATGGCCTACTTTGTCGCCGCCCACGTCAGTCCTCTCCCTCACCATGTCCATCCGCATGCAAGGATGATCATCAAGTTGCTAATGTGCATTGCGTTTACGTGCAGGCGGTGGGCGCGTGCTGGTACCTGCTCGGGGTGCAGAGGGCCACCAAGTGCCTCAAGGAGCAGTGCTCCATCTCCGGGCCGCCGGGGTGCGCGTCGGGGCCGCTGGCGTGCCCCAGCCCTCTCTACTACGGCGGCGCCGGCACCGCGGCGTCCGTCGCCGGCGACAGGCTCGCCTGGGCCACGGACGCCACGGCCAGGAGCATGTGCCTCGTCAGCGGCGACAAGTACCAGTTCGGCGCCTACAAGTGGACCGTGATGCTGGTGGCCAACACGAGCCGGCTGGAGAAGATGCTGCTGCCCATCTTCTGGGGCCTCATGACGCTGAGCACGTTCGGGAACCTGGAGAGCACGACGGAGTGGCTGGAGATCGTGTTCAACATCGTGACCATCACGGGGGGGCTCATCCTGGTCACCATGCTCATCGGCAACATCAAGGTGTTCCTGAACGCCACCACGTCCAAGAAGCAGGCCATGCACACGCGGCTGCGGAGCCTGGAGTGGTGGATGAAGCGCAAGGAGCTGCCGCAGAGCTACCGGCACCGGGTGCGGCAGTTCGAGCGGCAGCGGTGGGCGGCCACCCGCGGCGTGGACGAGTGCCAGATCGTGCGCGACCTCCCCGAGGCCCTCCGCCGCGACATCAAGTACCACCTCTGCCTCGACCTCGTCCGCCAGGTGCCCCTCTTCCAGCACATGGACGACCTCGTCCTCGAGAACATGTGCGACCGCGTCCGCTCCCTCATCTACCCCAAGGGCGAGACCGTAAGTAGTTCATCAGAGCTCCGACAAATCAATCAATGGCTATGATGTGATGGTGTTGGTGTTAATTTTTGGTGTTTGGAATTTGGATGCATGCATGCAGATCGTGCGGGAGGGAGACCCGGTGCAGCGGATGGTGTTCATCGTGCGGGGGCACCTGGAGTGCAGGCAGGAGCTGCGGAACGGGGCGACGAGCTGCTGCATGCTGGGGCCGGGCAACTTCACGGGGGACGAGCTGCTGTCGTGGTGCCTGCGGCGGCCGTTCGTGGGGCGGCTGCCGGCGTCGTCGGCGACGCTGGTGACGCTGGAGAGCACGGAGGTGTTCGGGCTGGAGGCGGCGGACGTCAAGTACGTGACGCAGCACTTCCGCTACACCTTCACCAACGAGCGGGTGCGGCGGAGCGCGCGCTACTACTCGCCGGGGTGGCGCACCTGGGCCGCCGTCGCCGTGCAGCTGGCGTGGCGCCGCTACAAGCACCGCAAGACGCTCGAGTCGCTCTCCTTCATCCGCCCGCGCCGCCCGCTGTCGCGCTGCTCCTCGCTCGGCGAGGAGAAGCTCCGGCTCTACACCGCCATCCTCGCCTCGCCCAAGCCCAACCAGGACGACGACTTCTCCTTCTAGCTCTGGCATTAGCATTCCCGCCGTCGTGAGTCAGAGCAGAGGTTGGTTCTAGCACAGGACACGGATGCTCTGCCTGCTGGCTGCTGCTCGGAACTGGCTTTGTTTGTACAGAGAAGAGGAGAAGTGAGCTTCAGCTACGAGTCCCGAATGGAATGAACGAAAAGCGGTGGATATTGTGTGTGTTTGCAGAATATGGCGATACGAATTGTGAATCTTACCGTACATACGTCGAAAGTGTTCTTATAGACTAGTTTATGAAGCAAATATCCTATCACATGTTAATACCTATGCAGTAAACATTGTAGCATCGGAGTCGTTGTAGTATAGTGGTAAGTATTCCCGCCTGTCACGCGGGTGACCCGGGTTCGATCCCCGGCAACGGCGTCTTTTTTTTTGAATTTTACTTGTACATGATGCTCGATTACTGGACTAGGGTTTGTACATCGAGGCCTACTTCCTATTTCGTCCATTTTTAGATTTTCCCCTTTGTTTTTTTTTGAAAGCAAAAATAGGCGATTTTTCATTCTTTCCAAATTCGTGCAGTTTTAAATCTCCCCCAATTGTTTCTTTCTTTTTTTGAAAGGAAAAATAGGCGTTTCTTTGCAATTGCTTTCCAACAAGCATTTCTTTCCTCTTTTTTTGAGAATGTGTTTCTATCCTATTTTGAAACGAATGCGAACTTTTTTTTTTTGATTCTACTGCTTAGAGCCGGTTTCGGATTGGACAGAGTCGATAAAAGGCGGGGCAACATGGCCTAGTTCGAAGCCAACACGTTCTATTCTCATCTTGCTCCGGCAAGAACAAACTCCACCTCCACCTCCACCTACAAGCTCCGTCGCGCCGCTGTCAATCGGCCGATCGATAAACCCGGCCATGGTTGACGACGGCGTTGATCGATCGATGGACGAGATGGTTTCGTTGACAATGAAGCAGCCCGGCGACTCCACCGACACGACTGTCCGGCCTCAAAGCTGCGTTCTCGCGCTCCCGTCGCCCCCGGCTTTGGCGGGAGACAAGGAGGAAGAAGAGCCGGTTCTTGGGGGCGGAGATCAGGCCGATGACGGCGAGGAGGACGAGGAGTCTTACGACAGCGATGACAGCTATGACGAGGATGAGAGTGACGACGAGGTCGAGGTGCCGATCAAGATTGACTCGCGCGTAGCAGCCGCGGCGAGCGGCGTCTGGGCCGGCCCGCCGCTACTGCGGGGGCAGTACGTGCCCGACGGCCGGTCCCTTGAGCCAACACTACAGTTTGCCTCCTCGGGGAACACGGCCGGCTTCTTGGGCGTCGCCGTCGTGGTGCCGCCCCCGGCTGATCGCCCGGCCGCCAGCCAAGAACAAGGAGGAGGCAAGGACAAGGAGATCTTGGTGCTCTACCGCTACACCGAGTTTGAGGCGGCACCCGACCTCGACGGCGTGGAGGTGTCCAAGAAAACGATGCTGCACTATCTCCATTTCGTCGTCCCGCCGGCCGGTGACGTGGCGGGCTCGCTCCAGTGGGCTTGGTCGTCTCTGGCGTCGCTGATATACCCCGCCCGCCACAACAACAAGCTCCAGGAACTCTGGTCCGAACTGGTCACGAACATGGCCGTGGGCATCCCGCCGGGGACCACGCGTCTCGAGGTGATAGCTGACGTCGGTATCCTCCGGCTCGAGGACTACAGGTATTGGCGCATGTATGCGGTGACGGACGCGCTACGGGGCATAAAAGCGGAGCCATGGCCCGGGTACCACGTCGGCATGGAGCTGCGCCTGCCAGAGCCGGTGCACGTGCAGTGCGCGGACGAAGATGAAGCCGTCGCCACCGACTGCGAGCGGCCGACGAAGCGGAGGAAGATCGTCACGGAGGAGGGCGCCGCGCAGAAGTGCCCCGTCTGCTTGGAGCCGCTGGAGAGCGACGCCGCCTCGTGGCCCGGGTGCTCCTCGCCCCACGTCTTCCATGGCACGTGCCTTGAGGGGACGCTCAAGGAGAGCGAGAAGTGCCCCATCTGCAGGCGCAGGCCGTCGGCTCAGGATGAAGAAGTCAGGGCTGAAGCCTAGAGCATTCTTCTGCGGTGATGATGCATGAGTGCATTGCAGTACACACAAGTAAAAAGAAGTAGTTCTCAACGAATACATCCTACTCTCTCGGTCACATAATATAAGACGCGTTTTGACATTACGCTTGTTTTTGTAATGGAGCATCGTGTCCAAATGTTGTACCCGTCACCCGACTTTACAACGCACTACCTCAGTTTCAAAATAATCGAAGTTTTGAGTTTGTCCGAAGTCAAACTTGTTTATGGTTGACCAAATCTGTAAGCAACACCCAATTAGTCTCATGAGATTATCAGTGAATGTTTTTGGCCATCATGGCCAGCTATGTTGAAATAAACGAGCTTACTTACTTTTCACAACAAAGACAGAAGGCTCATCCAACCCACTTAAACTAAAAAGGACTTATTTTACAACACCCCACCTGAATTTTTGTAAAAGGAAAAAAAAGGAAATTCTGCGGGAGACACTCCATCTGCGCTGCACGTGCATCGGTCCGGCGGCCCGAGCAGGCGTGGCCTCCGGACGCAAGTCGGCACGCCCCCCCGCCACCGTCGCCCTCCCCATCATCATCCTTCCAGATTCGCACTCGCGCACGCGGCCCACCACGCCCGCCCATCCACCACCTCTGACTACAGTCCACACCCATACCCAATCCGCCATCCCTCCCCCCGGAACACTCGCTTTCCTCCACCAGTTTTCCACGCCCGCCCGCCCGCCCGCCCGCAGCCAAAACCC